TGAGAGGAGGGGCGCTGAAATAGCCAGGGCTGGCGGCGTGTGATGGGGCGCACCTGAACCGAATGGAGCCTCATCACCGCCGCTGTTTAAATGCCGAGCGCCTCTCCTCGGGAGACCGGTCTCTTCCCCGTGCATGCACGATAGTGTCCTCGTGGGTCCAGGAGGGGTGCGTAGAGGGACTCCCGTGCCGCCAGAGTCGTGAGCTGTCGGACCTGCAGTCCGGACGAGAACCGCACCCGTTACATGGCCGTCGGGCAAGGATGCTGGGCCGTCTAGTCCCTTCAAGCACCGTGGGCAGAGAGAAGGACGAAGCCGCTGATAGAAGCCGCCACCCCTTGCGCCCCGGACTGGAGAGGGGAGCGCGTGCGGCCGCCGGACTCTGCCCCTTACCTGGACCCTTCCTTCCTGACCACTGCCCTTCCCTTCACGAACCCGAGGACACCAGATCCTCTGTTAATTTTGGACACTTGATTAAACGAGGACACCAGATCCCCTGTTAATTTTGGACACTTGATTCCCTTTTTTCTGGACACTTTGTTTATTTTCTGTTAATAAACTGTGTCTGTTGTTTGCTCCTCCCGCGACAACACCCATTAATGTAAACTACGCCAGAGCGCGTACACGCCTCACGCACAGGAAGTCGTGCGTGTGCTCAAAGGAGTTGGACATAGTGGTGTATTAGAGGTAAAAAATGATATAAATACTGTTCGGTTTCTGGCACAAACCGATTGGTTCGTGTGTTAGGACATCACTGTGTCGTCACGAGCCGCAGGGTTTAATTTGGATTTGTCTGTGCATGTTTTTTTTACACTCATATACTTTGTTACCATTGCCATCCATTATAAGACTGATGGACTCCAACAGTTGGACTTAAAAATCCTCAAATGTGTTCTACTGAAGAAACAAAGTCACCAACATCTTGGATGCCCTGGGGGTAAGCAGATAAACATCAAATTTTCATTTTTGGGTGAACTATCCCTTTAAGCTCAGACATCTTAAAACATGCATATTACATATCTGGATATACGTTTACTTACTCTCTATACACAATATGTGTTAAACATCAGATACTCTCCACACGGTCCAGTAGTAAATATGTTGTCTTTCTGCTTTTGTTGTTGCCCAGAGACAGGCATCAACTGTGACGGTCAACCCATATGATGCAAGCACTCACTCCTCAGTAGAGGAGCAGGCTGTGATCCATTCCCATTCTTCTCTGAGACCACCACTTCCCAGGCCTGCCCAGAACCATCCACCAACCGGAGACCCCATGACCAGCAACCCAAAGCGTTGGGTGATAAAGCCCCTCTCCCCTAAGCTAGAGCAGTCAGATTTGCGCTCCATAGTGAGCCCTGTTCGGTTTCTGGCACAAACCGATTGGTTCGTGTGTTAGGACATCACTGTGTCGTCACGAGCCGCAGGGTTTAATTTGGATTTGTCTGTGCATGTTTTTTTTACACTCATATACTTTGTTACCATTGCCATCCATTATAAGACTGATGGACTCCAACAGTTGGACTTAAAAATCCTCAAATGTGTTCTACTGAAGAAACAAAGTCACCAACATCTTGGATGCCCTGGGGGTAAGCAGATAAACATCAAATTTTCATTTTTGGGTGAACTATCCCTTTAAGCTCAGACATCTTAAAACATGCATATTACATATCTGGATATACGTTTACTTACTCTCTATACACAATATGTGTTAAACATCAGATACTCTCCACACGGTCCAGTAGTAAATATGTTGTCTTTCTGCTTTTGTTGTTGCCCAGAGACAGGCATCAACTGTGACGGTCAACCCATATGATGCAAGCACTCACTCCTCAGTAGAGGAGCAGGCTGTGATCCATTCCCATTCTTCTCTGAGACCACCACTTCCCAGGCCTGCCCAGAACCATCCACCAACCGGAGACCCCATGACCAGCAACCCAAAGCGTTGGGTGATAAAGCCCCTCTCCCCTAAGCTAGAGCAGTCAGATTTGCGCTCCATAGTGAGCCCAACTGGCCAACCACAGTTGCTAGAGAATACGTACAGTAGCAATCAGGACGGTGACTCTTTCAGGTTCAGCTTGGAAAGTATAACAGTAACAGGCATGCAGCCTACTGTGATGGTGTCATCTGGGAGTAGCACTCCAGATGTGGTAGTCCAGGCTCGGCAAGTGCCTGTGTCTGAGGATGGAAGTGACAGTGAAGACTATAGGCCTAGTACCCCAAGCAGTACAGGCTCATATGTTGGATTCTATTCCTTTGTAAATGACCCAGCAAGCCCAGAAGCAGAGATGAATGAAGTCTACATGGTTTCTCCACAAAGGCACGCCAAACTGAATACCTTGAAGGAGAAGAGTACCTTTAAGCTACAGACATACACAGAAGAAAAGAGACCTGGAAGGCTATTTGAAGAAATTAACGGAGATGAACATTACCAAATTGAGGATACCTTCACAGTCAATGAAGACGGGGAAAATCCAGACCGAATGGAGATCATCCGGAATCAGGCACCCAGGAAAAGCCCTGCCCTTAAAAAGCAATGGAGTACCTTAGAAAATCTGGACCTCAGTAACACTCCGCTAAGGCTCCTGGATGGGTTTAGTCTAAACTACAAACCAGTGAGTGTAAAGACTGAACAAACCAGGGTTGAGTCTGGCACTATAGACAATGAGCAAATTGACTTCAACGCAGCACGAAAGCAGTTTCTAATGATGGAACAATCAAAACAGAATCCCTTCCTACAGAGTCCGGAGAGGCTCCCTTATTCCTCCAAACTGCGAGGAAGATGTCTATCCTCAATGGCCAGCATCTTCAGTCCAAAACAAGTAAGCAAAGAGAACAGCATAGAGGAGAATCAGATCCCACTAGTAACACAACAAGAAATAGAAGTAAAGACTGTAACTATGACTGAGGATTCAGAAAATAGAGTTCCAAGTGCTGCCATAGATGATATTGACTCTGGTCTTGGTGACCGAAGTGGAGGCTATGCCAGTGATGGTAGCAATTCAAACGATCCTTCAATTTCAGAGATGGAAAGTAGCTTGACAATGCTGATTGCAGAGGAGACTCCCATTCAAAGGGAAATCAGAATTGCCCAACAACGGGAAGAGAGTCTACGTCGATCAAGGGGTATCTTGCACAAAGACAATTCAGAGATGGTGGAAATCAGGATAAAGCCAATTCTGTCCCTTTCATCTCCACAGGTGAAAGCTCCAAAAACCAAAGAACCAAACAGAGTGAGTTTCCTTATTCGGAGAGAGCTTGAACTTGAGAAACTGCGACAGATCACAAACAGTGTTTTAAGCCATAATACCCAAGAGAACCAAGTACAGGACAATAAGTCACAACCGGATGAAATTCCAGTCACATCTTTGAGAGCGAGTTTAAGCAAAAGTCCCACAACTGATTTAGAGCAAAGCACAGTCTCTGCAGATGACATGTGGATTACAGAGCAACCTGCCCTAGTAGAGGAAGGTGACCTCTTGGACTCAAAAGAAGATCTTTCGCCTTGCTGTCCTCATCGACATCCTGATGAATCTATCCTTCAGAGAAACACTGACAGCAGCACTTTTGGAAACCAAGTAAGTGCATATCCTGAGGACAACAACAATTCTAAAGTAAGGGTTCATAAAGAAAATGGTGCTGAGTGCCAAACCGATAATCCCAGAATGAAGAAAGGGCCATCCTGGATTGTGGAAAATGACAACAGAATGTCAGGAAAGAACAGATTTTACTCTCGAAATACTCCGTCCCTGCTGGAACCCGCAAAAACTAGTCAGTACACTCCTACCTGGCGATCTCACCTTGAGTACACCGACTGGAGCCCCAAAATTCAGAATGCCCCAAACAACATCCGTCAGGAAATCGAAGAAGACCTTAGACGAGAACAAGAGCTCCAAGAGCTGAGAGATTCCAGTAGTCAGGCTTTCTCAGTACCCAACTCAGCATCCGTGAATCCAGCGCTAACTTCCTCTGAACCCAGGCCCCCAATAACCAGTGAGGAAACTGTGTTTTCACCACAAACTCCACATGGGAGCATGGCAGAAGTGGATTCTGTACTTCCTGAAAAGAAGACTGATTATAGTAATCCTTATTCCTGGAGTCTGGACACTTCTCGATTATTCATTAAAGGTATTACTGTTCAGTCTCGCTGCACTCATACATGCTAAACATAGCAAATGGTTTAGGGGGGGGGGATACAGGCATTATTGTCTGTCTAACTGCCTTTTGCTGGGAAACTGTCTTATTATTCTGTATAATGTTTGTGGCAAGTGCATTTCATAACTTTCTTGTTCATAGCTAAATGATTCATTTAAGTGTTAAATGTTTATGGATATCAGCAGCACCAAGGAATGAGAAGGAATTGCCAACATAGTTTCTGAACTTTGGACATACCATCGCATTCTGCTTCATTGAAGAATGATTAATCATTTACTTTATGGATGTAAATGCACGTTTCAAGTTAAAGGTTGCTTTTCGGACAATGACATGCATACATGCTATGTCTTGATTTCCAATACAATTTGCGCTGGTGATTAGTGCCCTCTACAAGGATTCATGTCAGGCTGAGGTCACAGCACACTTGTCAGTTCAGGATCAGTATCCATAATGAAAATAAGACTACATAAGACAGTACAACTTGTACAACTTACAGTACAACTTACAGTATGTTCAGATGTATTCGTTTAAAAAGTGTCCTATGGAAAACATGATTAACAGTATTCTAACATTTTTAAACACTGTAGTTCACTGAAAACGTATGGGAATTGACTTGTATAAGTAGGTGAATGAATCATAACCATAATCTCTTGTTTTTCTTTGTTTATCTCTAAAGATAAAAGTTCACAGTTGTCCTCACCGCGACTCAGTTTCAGACTTCCCTCTATGTCAATTATGACACCCCAGCCATGGGGCAGTCCAAAACCCATGTCCCCAAATGTTTCCCGGGTAACCTCCATCAAGCCCTTGAGCGCACTTGCTGACCCGCCATCGCCTTCTTCCCAGAAAGGACTGACTGAGACACTGCTAAAGGACTTTGAGGACAGACGGATCAAACTGAAGCTGGAAGAAAGTGCAGTGAGTGAAGTTTATTTCAGGAAACAGTCTGAAATCACAAACCTCTCCCGGGAACAGTCCTTAAAAGGATGGTTTATACAAAAATGAAAATGGTGTCATCACCTTCATCTTCATGTCATTCCAAATCGCAAATCCATGGAAGAAAGAAAGTCATAAACCTTTGAAATGACATGCATAAGTAAAGAATATAATTTTTGGGTTAACTATCCATTTAAGAGATTAAAGTCATAATAAGTAGCTGTGACTGGTGTAACAATTGATTTAGAGCTGTATTGACAGATTTTTCTCTTTATAACTTTTTCTTTCCTCATTGTCTCTCAGTATGCTGGGATCCAACCTCGTCTTGATGCCATAAACAATGAGGTGAGATGAGGTTTTCAATGTCTAGTGCCCTCTGCTGGATTTTGTAACAGATCCAGTTTGATCATGTTGTGTAACTCTGGTTTCTTGGCAGGTTGTAGAGGCCACTCGTGTAACAAGGCATAAAAACCAACGGGCCCTGCAGTGGGAGGCAGGCATGTATGCCAACCAGGAGAGCTAATGAATCAGCACAAACATAACAGAATGCGCATGAGAAATCATCTTCAGATGACTGGTTTTAATTCCACATTGCACTTACAAGCACACTACTAGCACCACCTCTCCATATAAAGTCAATGAACATGAAACAAGGACATTGCTTCCATTTCATTCACAGTTTAGCTGGCTGTTCTGAATTGACTGGCGTGGTGGAAATAGGTGTAGGTGTGGAGAGCATCTTACCTGCTTGGGGTGAATTGTAAGCTCTAGCATATTGGATTATGAAAACTTTCTTTATCTATTTCTCAGCCCAGTACTAATATTTAACTACTATCCTTAATACTTAGAAAATATACACGTTCATAAAAATCTGTCATCTGAAAATAAAACATAAAACTGTATTCCAGATTATTAATCTCACTAACTTTAAAATCCTCAGTTCTTCAATGGATAGACCAGCTTGCCTTTAATATAAGGAATAAAACCAAATAAACAAAGTAGAATCACAAAGCCGGGTTCCTAGGAGGGGCCATGAGATCTGGACCTGGACAAGAACTCGTTAACACACAAGCCTGTTGATCTAACAAAGTGGTCTTTATTTTGAAATAATGTTGAATATTGCTTTTCACTGAAAAAATATAAAATATAAATAATCGATAGAAGATTATTTTTGTATTGAATATTGAAGATTAAGAAAGTTGCAATTTTTTTTAAATGTACAATTTACATTACAGATTAGACATTGTAAGTTATGTCATTATCACTCACTTTTGTTGTAATAATAGTCTAGTATGTCAAAATTAATATCAAAAGTTGATATTGATGTATCCTGTATTCTGTGTATTCGGTGTTGTTAACACATAATAATAATATTCTAATATACAAAATATATAATAAAAGGCTTGATTTTAGTAGACATGTTTCATTTAAATATATATTACAGTTTTTCAATATAAGATTTTAAGGTTTAGCCCTGGATAGTGACTCCCAACCACGGGCACTTTGGAAGATACTAAAAAGATTACTACAATTTTTATTTTTTTTTCTAAAAAACAAAAACAAAAACAAAAACAAAACCAGATTAGGCTTATTATGATTTTGTAAGAAAATCAAACATAATAGAAAAGGAAAGAAAAGAGAGTTTTATAAATTCAAATTAATACATTTTATAAAAAGTCGGTTTTACACCGACAGTATTTATTTATTTATTATTTTTATAAGACTTTATAAGTACTAAATGCTATCTAGTATAGAATGAGTGAAAATGATCACATTTTTGGTTAGGCGTTTATGAAAGTGTACTTGAGCCTTATTCATTTGTTTGGATACACAAGACAAAAAGGTTGGGAAACACTAGTCTAGTAGCTGTTGAAAAAAATGTTGGTTTACATTCAACATTCAACATGTACCTTCATAAGCATGCAAAGAATAAGTGCAATATAAGTGTCTTGTCGTGTTTGATAACTACTTGTATGTTAAAGTTCCACCAATATTCTCATCCCACGCACTAATTAAGAACTGTCAAAACTGACATACTTGCAGAACAGTCTTTCTTCACATGGTTTCAGGCTCCAATCCGACTAATGAATACTTCTATGCAATATTTCAGATAAATTGATTTATTAAGCTAAATACTTGACGGTGTTCTGTTGTTGTTTTTTTTTTGCTTTTTCTTTGAATGCCCGTATTATATGATTGACCTTTGCACAGCAGTGCCCTCTAAAGAATAAACTCCATTAACACATTATTTCTACATGCATGCTATGCAGTTTGCTAAATTGTTTTGTAATTTCATGCCAGTGTCATTAAAAATATGTCTACACAACAGCAGTAATTAAATAAAGCCACAGATGCTACACAAGATAGCAAATCCCAAATCCCTCTCTGAACCCATATGTATTAGTACCACACTTTGTTTTATGCTCTCAGGAGTGAAATTAAGTGAATCTCAAGGTAGACGCATTTACAAGCAGCAACAAGTTACCCTTTAAAATAACTTTCACTTCAATCACACAACTTTCATTCTGCATTAGACTGAGTTCAGTGTCAGGTGGGGCTTTCCACACTTTCCTGTCAATTAAAATCCATTTACAGTGAGTATTAGTGCATTTTTTACCTGTATTTATACATTTATATTCAGCCTGCACTAGCAATTAAATGCATTAATGTATACATGTGTTATTGTGTGCATTATGAGTGAGACGACATTTTCATCATTATAATTTGGATCAATTAGAATCTGTGGACCATGTGTTTATTTGCATGCAACATTAATGTCAGTAAGTAGAAGAGACTGGGCCTATATTGAACCACTCAAAAAAACAAACAAACAGATAATGCAGTAATATTATGAGCTGTTGCTACAATTGATGATTACTGTTTTCTATCTGAATATATTTTAAATGCAATTTATTCCTGTGATGCAAAGCTGAATTTTCAGCATCATTACTCCAGTCTTCAGTGTCACATGATCCTTCATCATTCTAATATGCTGATTTGCTGCTCAAGAAACATTTCTTCTTATTATTATCAGTTATTCAAAAGTTACAGAGTAGGTATGATTTAAGTAAGGAATAACTGACGACAGGCCGTTGAATTATTAGAAAATAATGCATAGCCGTGGCCACAACTCAAAGCGGAGTTACACCTCAGGTGTACATTATTTTCTAATTATTCAACGGACGGGAGTTATTTATTCCGCTTGTACTACGGTTACTACAGCTCAGGACATTGTTCAGATGATGCATTTCAAGACATTTGTCAGGGTTTGTCCTTGAAATGCTCTTGTAGGATTAAACTTTCTCATCCAATGCCTCTGTTGCTAATGCCAAAGTGTCATTAAAGACCCAGCAACGGAGGCTTGGGCTTTTGATAGCAGACTAATTTATAGTCAAGTTATTACACAGACAGAGAGAGATTTAGCTCTGTGCGTCTCTCAACAGTTGTTCGGCAGCAACGTCCCTAGCAAAACTGTTAAGTTCATCTGCTTCAAGAACAGCGCCGCTGTTACCTCGCTTGTTGTGAGAAATGACATGTAGCTTTGAAATGATTGAGCTTTTTTACTGATAAAATCGTCAGAGCAGCGCTGACAACACGTTTCTGTGCGCGTGTATGTTTCTGTGATAGTCAAGTTATTACACAGACAGAGAGAGATTTAGCTCTGTGCGTCTCTCAACAGTTGTTCGGCAGCAACGTCCCTAGCAAAACTGTTAAGTTCATCTGCTTCAAGAACAGTGCCGCTGTTACCTCGCTTGTTGTGAGAAATGACATGTAGCTTTGAAATTATTGAGCTTTTTTACTGATAAAATCGTCAGAGCAGCGCTGACAACACGTTTCTGTGCGCGTGTATGTTTCTGTCAGTACTGTATGTATGTACGTTTGAGTGGGAGCCAAGGCTGGACTGGTAATCGGGCATACCTGGCATTTTCCCGGTGGGCCGATGCACTTAAGGGGCCGACAGAAGGTTTTTTTTTTTTTGCCAAGGACCATCACGCACGGACAGCGAGCAGCCAGTGGCCCATTGGTTTGTCTCCTGTATTGACAGCGTAAACCATCCAATCACAATGCGCTATAGACGGAGCGATTAAGTATTTTGCTCCGCCTATATAAAGATCGCTTCACTCCAACTTCTTCCTCGTCGGCTTTTCCCACGTTTTCACAGCTGCATTATCAAGAACAGGCTTGCTCTGCAGTGAGTGATGCTGGCCAAAGAGCCAGGCAGGAGGAGAAGAGGAGAGTAGTTGAATCTGTAAAGTGCTTGATAGGGACTCGCAGCGGAGGCAGGCATCTAACCTATCCTAAAGTGTGCACGCCATGAGTGTAGAATACAAAACACTTTTTAATAAAACGTAAATTCGTCCCCCTTTTTGGCCAAATCAAGTCAAGTGTGTTCATAGAGGTTTTCATGGGCCAATGCGAATAAATCTAGATTTAAATTCAAAACGACACGATATTGTCGGACCTGGCGTTTTATTCTTATCCAAAACCACTAGATGTGATATGAGTGTGATACTTACATACATACACTACCAGTGTAGGGAACAGTAATATATTTTTATGTTTTTTAAAGAAGTCTTTTCACACCAAACCTGCATTTATTTGATCCAAAATACAGCAAAAGCAGTAATATTGTGCTTTTTTTTTACTATTTAAAACAACTGCTTTCTATTTAAATATATATTAAAATGTAATCCATGAGTGTAGAATACAAAACACTTTTTAATAAAACGTAAATTCGTCCCCCTTTTTGGCCAAATCAAGTCAAGTGTGTTCATAGAGGTTTTCATGGGCCAATGCGAATAAATCTAGATTTAAATTCAAAACGACACGATATTGTCGGACCTGACGTTTTATTCTTATCCAAAACTACTAGATACAATGATACATATCTACACTACCAGTTAAAAAAACCTTTGAGCAGTCAGATTTTTCATGTTTTTTAAAGAATTCTCTTCTGCTCACCAAGCCTGCATTTATTTGATCCAAAGTACAGCAAAAGCAGTAATATTGTGAAATGTTTTTACTATTTAAAATAACTGCTTTCTAT